TTGTACACGGGACTGGCATTTTTGAGGTGCTCCAGACACCTTTAGCGCATTTGCACGCGCTTGACACGAGACACGAGGTAATCGACCCAGTTCGTGCTTTTGCTTCACTCCTTGAGAGCCCTCGATTGGCCATCCCCTTCTTTTCATTGCATTCGTGATCCGCCGGTCACGCCATACTGCGTATTAACCAGTTTCACAATACAGGCGTTTTTACCGGTTCCATCATGTTATAGTTCAGGGGTATGAATCGCTGTGGGGACTAGATTGTTTATGGAAGTTTACCGTGTGCATCAAGTTGCAATTTTCAGTTATCCACTTATCTTCTGCATGTCGGGAGGCACCAGTTCTGTTTCATCTCTTCAGCGCAATACCTATCTGGGTGAAAAACTGAGGAAGATACTTTGCTGAACAGTTGACACCGACCTTGCAAAGCTGACAATGTGAAATATGTCAATCAAGTCGCTACCTCGCGCCATCGATTTCCCTCCAAATAAAGAATCTCGCTACATTGCCACAGTAACCTAAATATGAAATCTATATTACTAGCAATATAGAAGTCTTCGAATCGGTTCTGCTTTCACAATTATGGCATTTGTGTTGCTTGGCCGTTAGTTATAATTGTTCTGATATCAACCATGATGTTAAAGCGAAGGGACTCCTTCCACTTCTACCCTTTTGAAACTCTTTTCGCCTCATTCTTCTGTTCATTTTCTTCCTTCCTTAATCATAATATGTGTTTTTCGAGCAACTGAGTCAGAATCGAAAGTTGAAATTTTGTTGAACGACGAATAATGGGCCTTTAAAACGGAAGATCAATAGGCGATAACACCGTATTACTGTCCTGTTTCTATCTGTGTTTCGATGTATCCACATGCTAACAACGCCATGAATTTAAAAGTCTGCTAACATATGCTAATCTGAAATTTAGGACTCATGGTGATTGTCAGGAGAACAATTCTGAATGAATAACCTCGTTATTGTGGCGAATAAATCGTGCTATCGATATGCAAATTAACAGATATATCGGGGATGCCGTAGGCATCTAAATCTCACGCATCAAACAACATTACCGGGAATTCCATCAACTCTGTAGCGCCTACAGCTGAACACCGTTTTCGTCCAACTGTACGCGGAAAATATATCATTCCTTTCTGGGTTGACTTCAACAGTGCACCGGTTTCACAGTCCGTCGTTGCAACCTTTGGTCAGAAAGGTAGGCGATATGATATTCAGCATGATTTATAAGAATTTGAAGCCTAACGTTTACGTTACAGCAGTGGTGAGGAGCGAATATCATGCCTACACAAGTTATGACTTATTCACTCATCATATCTTCACAGAATTCCATATTTCTCTGCTGTTGTAAATGTAGCAGTTTCGACATGTGACGGCAGACGCCTGGTTCCTATGCTATTCAGACAAGCTTTATGGATTAAATCAGAAGGTTCAGCAGTGTCGGATGTTCGACCTAAACAAGTCACATGGTCCTAATTCTGCCATTAGAACGAGGGACTCCGTAGTCGATAGTTCGTACAGAGCACAGTTCACTTCCTCAAGGAAGGTTTCATATTTTCCCTCAAAATTTGTCGCATCAAGCTGTAACAAGGTCAACGCTTTAGCCTGTTGTAACTTCAGTTTGAAGATTGCCACTCTTCCGCTGACAGGTTTGCATTCAATGATTATGCCAACCGCATTAGATTTTGCCTGAACACCAACACAGACCTCAGCACTGGTCGTGAAATTGACCCTGAGAATAATACGCTCAGAAATCTGCACCCCTGGCGCCATGTTAACAAGACAACTACAGCCAGTTATTCCCTTGCGGCATCATCAACTGGGCCCTGTTCTTTCTCTCTGAATGAGGAGATGCTCCAATTTGAGTCAACACTGTCGGTGTCATTCCCGTTGAATGTTGTCTGAGGTGTTTTGATGGCATCGCGTTTTCCGCTACTTCCGTTTAGAATGCTAATGACTCCATTTCTGACTGGCAATTTCGTCATCTTGGTGTCCTGTCCTCCTTCAACAGGTCGAATCGTGCTGCTACGCCTGTAGCTGCCAGAAAACGTGTGGATCTCTGACTGCTTACAGTTCGCTTCAGTTCCCCTCAGCCCTTGGTGGCCTCCGGTAGTCGATCGACGACGACGGGTGTATAATCTTCAACAGTGCCAGCCCCATTAGTTGCAAGTGATTAAGTCATGCAGGAACCTCGCCATGACACCATCCTTCGTGTTTTCTCGACGAGGCTTGTGACCTGCAATAGGGGTGTTCATATTATTATTATTATTAATGGTTGGTATTTTCACTCTCCGCGAGATGAGGCCCCGTTTCATGATGAGGAGGGAAAAATACCAGAGGAGAGGTGGTGCTGTTAAAACTCCCTGAGGAAAACTCCTAGCGAACCAGGCCTGACAGAGTCTTCACTTGGAACCCCATTCGAGGTTTGGTCGCGGTGATGGACAAACACACAAAACGCCTGGAAGGCGTAGATAGCAGCCACGGCAACTATTTTCCAATATCTTCCTATGAAAGAGTTGTTTTTTTTGAAACACAACAATAGGTATGTCATATCGCTCGGCTGACAAATCATATATCGACTTCAGCGTTGACAGATTGGTACTGAAGTGGCAATAAGCGCCCAATTGAAAATCATTGGCTAAAATAGGTCGGTGACTTTAACGAAAGATATCTTGCGAATCTTATGGTGACAGTTAGCACGAGACAGACAGACCGGTGTAGCCATCAAGACTTAGCGTTGCTGATCTTCATTAATTAAGAAGAAGGACCAGTCAGTTGTTGTTTCTTCCATGAAATATAGATATAATCAAACCGTACTCATGCAGCATCATATATCCGCTTTCATAAATATATGTAAATGCATTTTTTCGTCTCATTGCTGTTGGATCTGTTTCCGCGTGAAGTGAATTAGTTGTTATGCAGCTCCCAGGAACCA